AAAGTCATGATTAAATTTAATTGGTGTTTTCCACAAGTAAAGGGCTAGCAAAGTAGGCACACAAGTCACATAATTCAAGACTTCCGTTATCCACAGCTGCCTTTAGTGCGGTGGTTATTTCCCTACCAATGACGTAATCCTTGCACGTCCTGACATGTTCTTTGCTTGGCTCGCAAATATTTAATTTTCCTTCTGATCACCGAACTCGCTGTGATGAAACAGCCAAAGAATTTATTTCATTTGCCTAAAACCACAAGAAATACTTGCAAAATTGCAAATAAATTAATGGCCGTTGCTTCTGGCGAAATAAACTTGCAAAGTAAACACGATCTTATTTGTCACACAGCGAAAGTGAAAGCTGCAACCTCAGCACATTCCATGGCTGATGTGATTCCTTTTTTTTACACACATTTATTATTCCCTTTGAATCCAATGCTTCGATAAAACCAAAAGAAAATATATTTTATTCACAACAAAGAAAAAAATATCTGTCCGTTAATGTTTCAACAGCTTTTGGTGAATAAACATCACACGTTGCATGGCCGTGAGCAAGTTTGGGTCTGGTCACTGGCAAAAAAAATAAAATAAAAAACCACGGGTAGAACATGAACCATGCTCAGCCCGTGGCCGCGCAGTTAATAAACTTCATCTTTAACTTGAAATGATATGTGAGTGTGTACATATGTTTTCCTTGAAGCATGTTGAAGTGGCCTGCGTAAGGTGAGTGTGATTTTTTTCTGCTTTGTTGTCAACTTCTCTATTGTTCAGACTTGTGACCTTCTGAACAATAGATCGTTTTCACGTGATGTCATCACTTTCTAAAATCCAAAACGAAAGAGCCACTAAAGTTTTTGTCCTCATCAGGCACAAGAGGCAGTATATTTATATCTGTTTACAATTTTACAGCTCAATAGCTGCTTCGTTTGGAATCCAGAGCATTTTGAATTTCAGGGTTATGGAGGTGGGTGACACAAGGCTATGATCAAGTTTGTCGAAAAATATATACTTATCCCATGATTTTGAGCCTTTTTAGAAGTTNATGTTTACACTATTTTCCGGCCGCCATATTGGTGTACCACGGAGGTACACCAACATGGCGTTTTCATACTGGGCTCTGTAAATATCGGCGAAACATTTCAACGAATATCTGAAGTTTGGGGAAATGCACAGGCCTAAAACTTGGAGAAGTGGCTTATTTAGTTATCTTCTATAACATAATTTCATAGCTTTTTCCACTGGATGGTTTTCGATTTATTTTTTATTGTGTGACAGTGAAAACGATCTATAGCAGCTAATTAGTGCATCACGCAAGGTAAGTGTGATTTTTAGTGTGATTTTTGTGTGGCCTACACAAAGTGTATAGTCACACTATGCCACAAGCTGATGTTTATTTGTCTACAAGAGTCAGTCATGTGATCTTGTGTCGTATGGCGCACTAGCCATTGTGGTCTCTAGTTTCCCCTGCTTTTAGTTTTAAAGGTAAGTCGGTTTGGATTTTGAGCTCAGTCTTGAGTTCTGCATCTCATCATTTCTTTTACCTGTCGAAAATCTAGCTTCATAATTAAGTACAAATAATGAAACCCATTTGCAATTGTTGTTTCACTTTCAGGTGTTCATGCAAGTCGACAAATCAAGACATCGGGAGTAAAGTTCCTCGCAAAAGCTAGGACAGAGGGTGTCTCAAAAACACAGACCTCGAAAACACAGACTGCAGACCGCAGACCTCGAAAACGCAGACCTTGAAAACTTTGTCTGTGTACTAATTGAAAAGCTTCGTTCTTTTATAAAATCAATGGGAAAAAGAAAATTTTAAAAAGCCCAAAACAATCATTGGGACCGGTTCAAGTTTATTAATAAATTGAGCTTACCCAAAATTTTCAAGATGGCGGACGCGTTGCTGTTTTCTGACTCTCTTCTCCTTTGATTGTAAGTGCAGCTTTCGTTTGCAGAAAATCGAGCATAGACTAAGTTGGAATATCATCAAGTAAGGTGTCTGCACCCATTAGAAAATTAAGCAATGAGAGTAACAAAGAAATGTTGGCAAATGAAGTAATGAACACGCTCGCAGGCGACATGCACCATTCATCAACGCGAAGTCACACAAGTGATTAGGATGAAGTTTCGTGACGGAAAAAAATCCCATTAAGTTAGCTAATTGAAGGCTTTCATACAAAAAGGGCATATGTAGCATTTTGGGCCGATTTTTATTTTTTGCAGGATCGAGCTAACTTTTGGCAGACTGACTTGTTTTGACATGAAAAGCATCATTGCATAATTGTTTTTGTTGATTTGCGCTTCGTTTTTGAGAAATAACGTATGCAAAAAAACTCAGTTTTCCAAGGGTATCTTTTGGAGAGGTGTGCAGTCTGTTGTCTGTGTTTTCGAGGTCTGCGGTCTGTGGTCTGTGTTTTCGAGGTCTGCGTTTTCGAGGTCTGTGTTTTTGAGACACCCCTAGGACAGACTTGGCATGTGTCCAGTGCAGGTTCTACAGGAGCCATTGTACTTTTGAAAACAACAACAGTTTATTTCTACTACTGCAAACAACTAAAAGAATTTACAAGATTATAGTTATAAATATATAAGAATTATAAATATATTAGATTATAATTATAAATAAATAAATAAACAGTACAGTACGTACAGTAGTGGGACACCCAAAATAACTAAAAAGCTAAACTAGTTGGGTGACCATAATTAAAATAATTAAAAATGTGAGAGTCAGGAAAGAGGCACAACAAATACATTGGTACACATGAATATCATAAACTTGGTACAAGAGTAAATATACAAAACAAAACAAAATAAATAGATATAAACCATCAAAATACCAGTAAAGATTAATAGAGACTAATGAAATGTGAAGTTAGTTCTTTTTTAAATTGATTAGAAGTACAACACTTGAATCTTTCATCGAGTTCATTCCATAATTTAGGTCCATTAAATCGAATATTAAATTTGCCATAATTTGTTTGAATTTTTGGAAGATAGAAAGTAGATCTAGATGCAAAGCAAGTGTTTACATTATGTTTACAAGATGTTTTGACAAAAAACGAATTAAAGATCTTTGGTAGTTTGCTAGTATTAAAGTTTAAAATGTCTCCATTGGTGACCACAAATTCAACGACAGTACTGCTTGAGTTTGAAAACAACATAAATCACAGACGCCTTCTCAAGACTTTCGGAAACAAGAGGGTAATATTGTATTTCATCACTTTACATTTGGATGGAATTAGTTGAATTACTTGTTTACAAATGTAAGTCACAGAAGAGGTCATTCAATGATCAGTTGACTGTAAAGCTGTCGATTTGCGGAATATATTTTTACCCTT